AGATGAATACGTTAAAGAAGTGCTATGATCAAAGAAAAGCCCTATCCTGGAGACAGAAAGTGTGCACTGTATTCTGGATACAGAACGACCACAGACTTTTATATTAGAAAACACATTACATCTATCTCTGTCTTGCGTATCTGTATTAATATATACACATGCACAATGTGTTCTTGAGATATGTTCTTATCTAAGAATATAGTACGGGGGGGGGGCACCGGGTGGCTCAGTCGGTTGGGCATCTGACTCTTGGTTTTGGCTTAAGTCACAATCTCACGGATCGTGAGTTCGAGCCTCGTTATCTGGCTCCGCGCGGATACCACGGAGCCTGCCTGGGATTCTCTCTCTCACTCTCTGCCCCTCCTCTGCACTCTCAAAATAAAATAGAACAAAACAAAACAAAAAAAGAATATGGCACATACATGACCTTGCGTGAGTTCCTCTGTCTTTGGGCTTCAAATTTATAATTTGTAAAATGAGGGTGAGGGACAAAGCCTCTATGATCTTTTCCAATGCCGCAATTCTGAGTTACAAGATGGTTATTTTATTGTCAGAAGATAATTTTCTGATACTTAAAATCTCAGCTTCAAGTACAAGTGTGCACCAATATGGTCTTCGAAAACAATGTCTTTTTTGCAAAAGCCATCAGAATTTAAAATGTGCATAGTCTTTGCCCCAGCCATTCCACACCTTTAAGCTTAAAGAGTCACCCCAGGAGAGGACACCTGGGTGGTCAGTCAGTTAAGGGTTCCACTCTGGATTTTGGCTCAGGTGATGATCTTATGGTCCATGGGTTTGAGCCCCATGTCGGGCTCTGAGCCTAGAGCCTGCTTTGGATTCCACGTCGCCCTCTCTCCTGGCCCCTCTCCCACTCGCACTCTCTCTCTCAAAAATAAACATTAAAAAAAATTCAACAATTAAAATTAATCTTCTCTGGGGGGCCTGTCTGGCTCAGTCTGTAGAGGGTGCAACCTCTTGACCCTGGGGTTGTGAGTTCAAGCCCCACATTAGGTGTAAAGATTAAAAATAAAATCTTTAAAAAATAAAAAAAAAAAATTAAAGTTCATCTTCTCACGGATTTCAGATGCTGCTTTTATTGTATTGCTACCATTGGGTCTATTCTTGGAATTTCTCTTCTGTCCCACTGGACCTCCAATTCCTGGGCTGATACCAAACTTTTAATAAGGGAGGATTTCAAAGTGTGTTTTAATGTCTGGCAGGGCTAGTTCCCTCTCGTTCTTCTTTGTAGTTTCCAAGGCTTTTCTTGTATGCTCTCTCAAATAGAAGCAAACATAATTTTCCTTGGGAGAAAGCATGTTTTCATGTTGAGTCTTCCTATCTAAGGATAGGATACATCTTTTCAACTGTTAAAGTCTAATTTTCTATCAAGAGTTTATTTTTTAAGTTTTCCTTAATGAGGCACCTGGTTGGCTTGGTCGGGAGAGCATGCGATCTCAGGGTCGTGAGTTTGAGCCCCGTGTTGGGCTTAGAGAGTCCAAAAAAAAAAAAATAATAATAATAAAGTTTACACGTTTTTCTTTTTGTAATTACAAAAGGGATCTTTTTGATCTATACAAAAGTATACCTCCTAACTAGTTCAGGTTTGTATATATATGAAATCTTTTATCCTTTTTAGTAAACATTTTTATTGAACTGTAATTATACATACAGAAAAGTGCACAAACTGTAAGTGTACGTATCATAAAGCAAATGCACTTATGTAACCAGCACTTGAACGAAACAGAACGTTACCAGCACCATAGAGGCGGCCTCATACTCTTCTAGGCCTCGTTGAGCTGAAGCAGCCAGGTGAAAAATAAATGTATACGATTCCACTTCCATAAAGCTTAAAAACAGACAAAACTAATTGATGGTGATTTAAGTCATGATAGTGCTTACCTTTGGAGGGGGAGGTGGTGACTGAAAGGGGGTGCTGATTTTTGACACCCGTAAGTTTTGCCTGTTTTGAACTTCATTTAAATGGATCCAGAGTTAGATACTCTTTTGAGTCTGGTGAGCACTTATATATATGCATGAGTTTTGAATGTATATTTGTACGTAATTGCTACTTTACTAAGTTCTCTTAGAGCATTTCAACAAACTTCTTTCAGTTTTCCAGATATAAATGTGTATCTGCAATTCTTTTCCATGAAATTCACATGGCTTTTGTCAAACTGCACTGGCTAAAATCAACACAATGCTAAGTGGCAGAGAGAGATAGGGGCATGTCTTGTTCTCGACTTTAAGTGGAAAGCTTCTTTTGTTTTGAGGTTAAGGTGCTGTCTTTTGGGCAGAGGTACAATGTTAATGAATTACTCATTGATTTCTGTATATTGGGTACATTCAGCATGAATTGAATGCTCAATTCTATCAAATGCCTTTCCTGAAAAATGGAGAAAAAATGATTTTCTTCTTAACTCTTTTAATACAATGAATAGTAACAGTCTACTATTGAATTACCCTTGCATGCCTGTAATAAACCCAACTTTGTTATGATGTATTATTTCTTGAAAGTGCTTTGGGGTTGTTGGCTAATACACTGTTAAAGTTTTTGCATTGATATTTGTGAGCGGTCTATAATTTTCGCTTTGGTATGGTCTTTGTCAAGTTTTGGAAACAATGCTATTATATTTGCTTTACAAAATGAATTTACAAGTCTTTAAAAAAAATTTTTTTTTTGGCACTTTGAGGCTCAAGATTCTTTTTCTAGCTTCTGGAATTGTATAAACGCCAGGATTATTTCATCTTAAGGTTTGGTAGAAATCCCTTGAAATAATCAAGACCCAACACTGTTTTTGGTAAGGAGTCCTCTATTAGTTTCTTCTATGATAATTGATTTAAATTTCTGTATCTACAAGGTAAACCCTGGCAATTTCAATTTGCATTTTTCTAAGAAAAGTTAGTCTTCTGATTGTATAAAATTATTTAAAGTAGTCTTAGAATTTTGAAATTTCTCCTGTTTTATGGTTATTTCTCCCATGTCATTTCAACCTTTTGTTCTTGAATAGGTTAGGTGGTGGTAATCTTCCTCTCTCCCTTTTACAAATTCCTTTCTTCTGTTTTCTTTTGGTTTGCTTTTCTGCTCCAAGTTTTTAAGATTTAATTTTCAGCTTCTTCCATTTTTAATGCTACAGTTCTAACTAGTATAAATTTCCTGTCCTAACTGCTTTTTAAAAGAAATATATTGAAGTGTTCATCAGCCCTGTGGTCATGTCTTTCTGGTGTGCTTGCCCTGTTTTATTCTTATTTCGTCTTTGGAGGAAATTCAATTGTAATCCTTCTCACAGTTTTTGTTGTTTGAAGTTTTCCTGTACTTTTTAGGAGAGAGGCATGCTCTAGGATTTTTCTTAGCTCCTGTCCTAAAGCTTCTTGTTCATTCTGAGAAAGTAATCGACAGGACATCACCAGTGACATTCCTTCTCAACGTTGATCTGGACTTTCTCTTTTCCTTGTCTTCTCATACCTGTCCTGTCCAGCTGAAATCCTACTTTCAGCAGTTTCTCCCTGTGCCAGGCTTTGTGTCATCAGTTCTGAGAGATATACAGCCCTGGGGCCCAGCTCACTACGTTGCTGGCACACCCACCGGCGGAGGGAACCTGTAGGAGCCTGGCCAGTCTCTGCTTCTGGTGACAGGCCCCCTGCCAGGCTGCCAAGAAACCGTGCTGTCAGCGAATAGCTGCCTGCTTTCCCCTTCTCCACAGGCAGACGCCGAAACTATCTGTCTGTCAGTGGTCTGTCCTTCCTTGCTTGCCTCACTCTTGAGGGTCATGGGGACAACTGTCATCTAGTTTTGTAGAACGGGGTCTGGGGTATCCTGGTTACCCTGTATTCTTATGCTAAGGCTCAGAAAGTACACTATTGCTGTCATCTTCCTGGAGCTTAACCCCTGTGAAAGCTCTATTACAGAAGAGATTTCAGTAACAATCATTTTATGATGGTTGTGACAGAAATTATACTTAGAAATTTACTGGATTTCAGGTGCTATGCCAAATGCTTTATATGCATTATCTCATTTAATCCTTGAATAACCTCAGGAGTTAGTCCCCCCACTCCCGGGTCCAAGATCATACTGCTGAACTGGCAGATCTGGGATTTAAACCCAACTCATCACACTCCAGAGCACCTCTTTACTAAACTGACTCTCAAATATTATCAGGTGCGACCATTTCCAAACTATCTACCACTGTAATCAAAACCTCTATGTGAACTGAAATTAAAGAATAGCTACTTCAAGATCTGATACACACACACACACACACACACACACACACACACACACACACACACAGTATAGGTCAAATCTAAAGACACTGCAGATGATGAATAGGTTGAACTGTGTTGTGTGAACTAATGAATCTTGTTCTCCTGCAGATGCTCTAAACAAAGCTTCTACCAACATCTGAAAAATACCATACTCAGGGTAGGGGCAGAACACAGGGAACAGAGTTCTTGTGGACTTCCTCTTTCCCTGCTCATTGTAATAGCACTGCTAAAGAACAAAGCATATACGTGAAATATTACTTACCGCTTAGTTTATACTCTTCTTGTAAATAACTATTTAGAAACAGGAGTAGTTTCTCTGTAGGTTCACTGGGTTGTTTCGGTCGGCACGCTGCTATGGAAGGTAAACACCTACTGGGCCACAAGGTTTCATAAAAAGGCCCCATTCAGAATCATAATGTAATTTATAATCTCATACTATTAAATTATACAAGGAGCCAGGAGATACTTCTTAATAGTTTTATGAAATACTTTTAAACTTGGACTTCCCTCGCATTTACAAATACAGTTACCATTATTACTAACTTTCTTACCTTCTAACCACTGATGGCAATTCAGAAAAAGCAATCAGGGCTTTCTGTAACAGATCTAAAGCCATATCATATATGCTATTTTAACTTCTAATGTTTAGGAAGTGACTTAGTTTGAGATGGGGATGTTTTAATTTGCCAGGATTTAAATAGTAGCAACTGAAATAACTCATCGAAAGATAACATCTCTTGTTAAGCTTGTATTTTCCCCACAATCAGAAAATGGATTTTATTTCTAATTAAAAACATAATAAAGTTGACTTTGGCAAGGTGAGGTTTAAGACTAAACATGCCAACTACAAATAATCATTTCTCCAAGCATATACCAGATTTCCCTTTGGAAGGACCATTATTTAAGAGTATTTCTCCCTCCAATTTAGGAAATAAATTAAAATTTAAATATTTTAATTCCTAAACAGTAATGCTAGTAATTTAGTTTTTGTACTGATAGTTGCAGAATAATTCAATGTTTATAATCCCCACGACTTTAACTTAAACCCAGCTTCTTTAGTGAAGAGATCTTCTCCATTTCGGTACTCGTCTCACATCTTTGAACATCATTCAACAACAGTGATGGAAGTGATTTATTGATAAACTGGTCACGAATGAAGATGAGTTATTATGCCATTTCCTTTACAATTAGGTAGTTCAAAGAATTAAGAAAACAAAACTGAAAGAACAAAAGCAAAATCCCAGTCCTTAACCCCTAAAGAGAACGTTTCCCTTCCACTTACCTGAAAATATAAAAATATAAATGACCATGTATGGAGCTGCACCATTAAATCTACTTTAGTGGTTCTGTTTTTTTACTGAGATTTTTACTTATTTGCTTTGAAAAAATTAGAAAATTGTCAGTGTGAAATCAGAACCACTAACACACTAGAGGCAACAAACTAAAAAAAAAAAATCTAAATGGCTAAAAATAACTCTGTTATAAAAGTACAAGTATAATTTACAATATCACATATTTCAGAAACATAAACAAAACCACTAGATGTCTTTCCTTCTAGATGACTGTTTTGTCCCCAGAAAGGAAAAGCAACTAATAATGACTTAAAATCAAACCTGTTATTCACTCCAGCAACATCTAAATAAGTGACCCACATAGCACAAAACCTTCTCATTCACAATCACATACAGTTAAATTATTTTTTCCTTAGTTACATAATAGTCTTCTTAAATCAATGTCCACTTAGAAAATTACTATATTAGTTAAGCCTATTCATCCTTGCTATGAAGTTAATTTCATTTATATAGGCCACGTACGTTTACTGGCACACTTTACTTAATAAGACAAAATAAGTCATTCTTTTTAAAAATTATGGAATCATCTGTTTTCAAAGAAGAATCCTAAATACTTCATTCATTAAAGCAATTTTTTACCATCAGCTGGCAAGCTTTTCAAATGATCACTAAGTGTTCACCCGCAGATTATCAACGCTCTGTGAACTATAAACTTGTTCTGAAGATTTGTGTCCATTTTACAGTATGATACAATTCGCACTGAAGAGTTTTTTTAAAAAGATAACCTACATACATACAGTTAATTTGCCCAAAGAACTTCTTAGAAATACAGTATAAACATTTAAGAACCACAACAGAGTCCGCTGTGGTTCAAACTTCAACAAAGATTTTCTTGAAACCCAGTCCAAAGGTTACTGGCTCAAGACCATATTCCAAAGTGACATCAGCACGCAATCTGTGAGACTCTACCTCTTAAGAAAAGAGCACACTTGGTTATACATGGCTTTGAACCTTGAGCTACAGTTATGCTACAAACTCCCTGCCTCCCCCCCACCCCCCAAAGGAAGTCAGTCACGTGGAGATGTGCACATTCTCGGAACACTGTTTAGAGTCCTTGGTTTTCCAGCTCTGATGGAGATCTCGAAGGCGTTCAGAAGTCCGTGTGCTTACATTCAGGGCAGGATGAACTTTGCAAATTCCACTTTCCTCCATTAGTGACAGGCCACAGATCCCAAAGTATGCATGTAAAGCATCTGAAAACAAAGCATTTTTTTTAAATTTTAATTACAACAGGCATTCTTATTTGTATATGTTGCAAAGTATTACATCGATATATCTATGAGCCCATAACAATTAAATTTAGAAAAATGTTAAATGTAGTTCTTGAAACATTTGCTTTCTCAATCTCTGAAAACACCAATTAAAAAAAAGATGACTAAAATCAGATATTTTATTCAAGAAAATACCACTAACAAAGGTAAAGAGTTCTCAAATGAGGAGGTGACACTCCCAACATCCTCTGTGATGAAAACATCAAGGAGAGGAGCCGTGCTACAAGACTTCTCACTTAGTGGGTTTTCCCTTTCACTTACTACAGAAAACAGAAACAAGGGGCTTTAACTGTGTATCATAAAAGGAAAAAATTTCCTTAAAAATGAAAATAACCCTGTGACTGTAAGTAGCAATACTCCTCCCTACTACATTGTACCTCTGACATTTCCTAAACCAGTAAGTACTATCCCAATACTGTGTTCAGTGAAAGAAGCCTAAACAAAATAATCCGTTCTGGAATGCTGTACCATATTTAGTTTTCCTATTTAGGGGAATGTCAGTCATTCAAAAAATGTCTGACCTGACAGTAAAAACAAACTCACATTCTATGTGGTTATAAATACCATAACCTTTCTTTCATACTGGCCTCACTACTGGTGCCCATCTTTCAGGGGGCACTGGCCCTCTTCCATTCACGTGGCCACTGAAATCACATGGCTGTTGCCTGCTGGACAGCCTTATATGGACCCTGAAGAGCTCAGAGCTCTGCAATTATGCGAATACTACAAAAAACAGACTTTGTAGCTGTCAAGCCATCATTTATGGCCTCAAGAGCTACGGATGTTCAAAAACACCTTCCCGACTCAAACTTTTGTCGAAAGAATTAAAGAGAATGTTTTACTAACATATCATTTACTTTTCAAAACAGGAATGACAGCTGTGCTCACTCAAAGTTATCAGTGAAAAAGTTATTCTACTAACAGAGGCCCATATCAATCCTCTTTAATGTCTTTTCACAGACTGCTTAGGTTTCTTCTGGCTCGCTTTTCTCTAATTTTCAGACCACAAAAAAATAAATCTGATTTCCCCTGTTCTATTTAATTTTCCTTATAGTTACTCTAAAAACTTGTCTAGAAAGGAGGAAACTTTTATGGTCTAAAAATGAGGGAACTTTTCTAGGGAAAAATGCAACTGAAAGAGAAACAAAATCCATCCAGAGTAACATAAAATAGGATCTTCTACTTTCCACATAATATAAAAATAAAACATTTTTTTCTCAAAAAGATTTTTGTAAAAGCCAATGAATCAGCCCTTAATTGTTTCAAACCTCCAAGAGAAAATTTTTTTTAAACTTCCTGATCTGTATGTGTATTAAAGCATGTCAGATGCTGAAGTATATAGTTTCTTCATAATAAAAGTTCATCCTTTTCTTCTGTAAATGTATATAAAATTGTTTCGTGTCAAATCTCCTACTAAATCTACTAGAACCAAGAATAAGCTAATTTTAAAGACTTGTTAGAAAGGATTTTCCTAAGGGCTCTGTGAATAGGTCTTCCAGATAAATTCAATTTATTATACAAAGACTTTCTTTTTTTTTTTTTTTTAATTTTTTTTTCAATGTTTATTTATTTTTGGGACAGAGAGAGACAGAGCATGAACGGGGGAGGGGCAGAGAGAGAGGGAGACACAGAATCGGAAACAGGCTCCAGGCTCCGAGCCATCCGCCCAGAGCCCGACGCGGGGCTCGAACTCCCGGACCGCGAGATCGTGACCTGGCTGAAGTCGGACGCTTAACCGACTGCACCACCCAGGCGCCCCTATACAAAGACTTTCTATGCTTTGCAGTGTACAAGTTCTGGAGACATTTTACCACATCTGTACAAAGTATTAAATTTAAGTATTTACACAAATGTTAAAGTTAGCAACTGATTGCTAGAAAAAAGCTTCAAGAATTTTCTTTTAAAAACTTATTGTAAATACTCAAAATGTATTTCAAATAGGTTTATGTGTGAAATGCTTTCCAGGGGCACCTGGGTGGCTCAGTCAGCTAAGCATCTGACTCTTGATTTCAACTCAGGTCATGATCTCAAGGTTCGTGGGATGGGGTCCCGCACTGGGCTCTGCGCTGACAGTGCAGAGTCTGCTTGGGATTCTCTCTCCCTCACTCTCTGCCTCTCTCCTGCATGCGCGTGCTCTCTCAAAATAAACAAACATTTAATAGGAAAAAAAAAAAAAAAAGAAATGCTTTCTAAGATACTGTCATTTCCCTATTCCTACTTGTTAAAATAGTACATTATTTGTCAAAATAGTTCAAGTCCTGATGAAAAATAATGGCATCGATTCTGTTTTCTTAAGGTAATACTGTAACATATTTATAGCTATGGTTAGATACTAAATTATTTAAAGCTTGTTTATTTTGAGAGAGTGAGCATGCACAAACAAGCAGGGGAGGGGCAGAGAGAGAGGGAGAGAGAGAATCCCAAGAAGGATCCACTCAGTGCAGAGCCCACAACCATGAGATCTTGACCTGAGCCAATATCAAGAGTTGGACACTTAACCAACTGAGCCACACAGGTGCCCCTACAGATACCAAATTTAAAAATATTATTTCCCTTTATAAAAACAAATAAAGAACTCATACGACCCAGCAGAAAAAAAACCCCAAGCAACTCAACTGAAAAATGGGCAAAGGATTTGAATAGTTATTTCTCCAAAGAAGAAACACAAAAGGCCAACCAATGCTCGACATCAGTGGACACAGTGACCGTTAGGGAAATACAAATTAAAACCACAGTGCCATGTGACTCCCGTTAGAACAGCCATCATCAAAGAGAGAAAAGATAACAAATGCTGGTGTGCATGTGGAGAAAGGGGAGCCCTCCTGCGCTGCTGGTGGGAGTGTAAATCAGTGCAGCCACGAAACAGTATGGAGGATGCTCAAAGGATTAAAAACAGAACTACCACACCACCCAGTAAGTCCACTCATGAGGGTGTACACAAAGGAAATGAAAACAATAACTTAATGTTGACACACCAATGTACACGGCTGAATTATTTATAGGAGCCAAGATATGGAAACAGCCTAACACTCCATTGACAGATGGACAAAGAACTTGCAGTATATACACAATGAAACCTGATTCAGCCATAAAGAACCAGGGGGAATCCTACTACTTGCGACAACATCAGTGGACCCTGAAGGTGTAATGCTAAGTGAAATAAGTCAGAAAAAGACAAATACTGTATGACCTCACTTCTATGTGGACTCTAAGAAAAAAAAAAAAAATAGACACCAAACTCCTAGAAAAAAAAGACATCAGACCCGTGCTTACCAGAGGTGGGGGCTGGGGCGGGGCACTGGAGGAAGGTGGTCAAAAGGCACAAACATCCAGTAATAAGTAAGTACTGGGGATGTAACGTACAACATGAGGACTACAGCCAAGGTTGCTGTACGATGTACAGGAAATGTGTTAGGGTAGTTAATCCTAACAGTTCTCATCACAAAATAAACTGTTTGCCCTTTATTATTTTCTTCTTTTTTTCTGGCATCTACATGAGAAGCTGGGTGCTGGCCGAACCTATTCTGGTAATCATTTCACATAAATGTAAATCAAACCATAATGCTGTATGCCTTAAACTCACAAAGTGATGCATGTCAATTATTTCTCAATAAAACTGGAAAATATATTCTTTTGCTTTAGAAATTAAAAGCACTGTACATTTTTAAAAAAGAAAGCATATTTTGGGGATGCCTGGGTGGCTCAGTCAGTTGAATGTCTGACTCTTGATTATGGCTCAGGTCATGATCGCAGAGTTCATGAGTTTGGGTCCTGCATCAGTGGGCTCTGCTTAGGATTTCTTTCTCTCTCTGCCCCTCCCCAGCTCTCACTCTCTCAAAAACAAACTTAAAAAAAAACATATTTTGCATGAAAATACAGGTAAGTGAGAATGTGAGGAAATATTTCTGCTTGCTTCAGGTACAAAAGTCTGATTTCACGAGCCCCATATTTATTATTTTCATTCAAGTACATATTCCGACTATAGCAGTTTTATTAATGGAGATGAGCTGAAGAGATTCTAAACTAATAATAAAAACCATGGTTCTACTGCAATGCTATAAAAACAATCATTCCTTGTATCTAGTTTCATATATTTATAGCTAATATTTTATTAACTTGCTCATCCATAATGCTCTGAATTATTTATAACAAACTTTCAAACTGACTTTTGGGAAGGCTGTCAAAAGAGTAATTTTGCTACAGGTGAAAACATAATGGGGAGGGGCAGGCAGGCCTGGAGAATAACACTAGAGGTGGGAGAGGAGCCAGATCTCAGGAGGGCCCTTGTGGGCCATGCGGAAGAACCCACTCAGGGAGCTAAGAATCTCTGGATGATTTTAATGGATTTAAGAGTTCAGATTAGACGTTCTCAACCTTTTTTTAAAAAATATATATACTGATGTCTACATTTTTTTTAATGTTTATTTTTGAGAGAGACAGACAGAGCATGGGTGGGGGAGGGGCAGAGAGAGAGAGAGAGAGAGAGAGAGAGAGAGAGAGAGAGAAAGAGAGAGAGGGAGGGAGGGAGGGAGAGAGAAAGAGAGAGGGAGAGAGACACAGGATCCAAGCTGTCAGCAGAGTCTGGTGCGGGGTGAGATCATGACCTGAGCCGGAAGTTGGACGCTTAACTGACTGAGCCACCGAGCCACCAGGCACCCTGTTCTTAACCTTTTTTGCATGAGAGATCCTTTGAGAGTCTGAGGAAAGCTGTGGCCTTTCCCCTGTCATTTAAGCATGTGCACACGCACACACGCATGCACAGTGTCAACGTGAGGAGGACTAGACCAGAAGCAGGAAGACTACGATACTAAGACTGTTGCAGAACTGTAGGCCTGAACCTGGCCTGGGGCCACTCAAGCTTTGAGGTGGGGTGGGGCACAGAGACCAGGCTCAGTTGGCAGGCTGGGTCTGAGGGGCCTGTAGGTGGCATCTGAGGAGTAACTGAGCAGGCTGTTTTATATCAGAGTATGCAGCTTAGAATGAAATCTGTCTAGGTTTGGGAAATGGCAGAATTATCTACATTTTTTAAAAAATGTCATTATTAATAAAGATTATCCGTTATTTCTAAAGAACCCATTTGAAAGTACAATCGACCCTTGAACAATGTAGCAGTTGTGGCCACTGACCATAGAAGTGCGGTCAAAACTCTACATAGAAGTTGGACTCTCATAAAAGTTAGCTACTGGCAGCCTACTGTTGACAGGAAAGCCTCATAGGTAACACAGTCAGTGAACACATACTCTGTATGTCCTACATATTATGTGTTATATTCTTCTAATCAAGGAAGCTCAAGAAAAGGAAATGTTATTAAGAAAATAACAAAAAGGGGAGCACCTAGGTGGCTCAGTTGGTTAAGCGTCCAGCTCAGGTCAGGATCTTGCAGTCATGCGATTGAGCCCCGACTTGGGCTTCTCACTGAGTGGAACCCACTTGAGATTCCCTCCCTCCCTCCCTCTTTCTGTCTCCCCCGCCTCCCCTGCTTGCTCTCGCACATGCACACTCTCTCAAAATAAACAAGAGTAAAAAAAAAAAGAAAATACGTTTACAATACTGTGCAATATTTATTGAAAAATTCCATTTGTAAGTGGACAGGTGCAGTTCAAACCCGTGTGGTTCAAGGATCAACTGTACTTACTAAATACAAGAATCTTTTTGTTCGTTACTTCGTCATTCCTGAGTTTGGAAAACGATAGATATCACATTGTCTGAATCTATGTGGCTCTTGAGTTTTAGACAATGAATGGTAAGAGTTTGAATAGCAAAATATTCTTCTAAAAACAATAACCTGAATCTGCTAAAATTCAGAAAAAGGTTGGACAGTGAGGGACACCTAACTTCAGGATTAGAGATTTTTGATTTAGTGCCTTCTGAACAGAAATAAGAACCGGTTCCCTTATGGATTTAGGCATTTATTCTACTTAGCTCTAGTGACAGCTAGATTCTGGACGGACCAAATGATCCTCCATTACGGACAGGGCCAATTCAGACCATGTGCCTTACTGCCTCAAACGAAAGAAAAGTTCGGTAAATGAAATGGAAAAAAAGACAAACGATACCAACACATCTTGATAACCCAAACTTTCCTTTATGCCCCTCAACATGATACATTTTCACCCAAACTTAAACAATTTACCTTTTTAAAAACTATTATTTAAGTTTACAACTGTGGCTAAATTTTCTATCTTATGCCCTTTCTGACAAAGATGCCTGAAGATCTATCTACTCAAGAAACAAATAAAAGTAAAATTGTTCTAGAGCCCTATACACAATTACCTGGATGACTATCTGGCCACTTGGCAAATCCTCCCACGAGCCGATCTTGAGTTGACAAGATGTAATTTCTATTTTTCTCAAAGTTAGTGTACTGAAAAATTTTCAGAAGCTGAAATGACAGGAAAAACATACATTTACTGCATGCAACTTCCATACTGACCTTTGGCTCAATTTTCAGATACACATCAATTAAATACACTTTTGTTTAGCTAAGGCTCTTAAAGCAGGCCTCTGGAGACTTGAGCACTTAGAATCAGTTAACCACATTATCATTTTTATCATCTGATCACTACTCTCCTTTCCTTGACCTACTCACGATTTACATTTTCTTCTGAATCACACCCAACTAATCTCTTTGCATCACATTCAGCTAGGTTCAAATCACAACTTTCCCAATCTGCTCAACTTAACCAGTCATAAAAAAATATTTTCTTCATGTTTAGTTTTGAGAGACGGAGGGAGGGAAAGGGAGAGAGAGGAAGGGGCAGAGAGACCGGCAGGGCGGGAGTGGGGGTGGGGGTGGGGTGAGGGTAGAGGATCCCAAGCAGGCTCCAGGCTGAGAGCAGCAAGCTAGATGCGGAGCTTGAACCTATGAACCACAAGATTAGGATCCCCACCAAAGGTAGATGCTCAACTGACTGAGCCACCCAGGCGCCCCTTAATCAGTCATCTTAAAAGTGCAATTTTATGTACCCATATTTTAATTCTTATGATAGGCTTTTACAATTCTTATGGTAGGCTCTTTGTTATATACTGGTAGTAACTTAAACCAAAAATATTTCAAAAAAGAGCAACAGAAATTATTAACCAGGTGCTATGGACAATTTTGAGAGTAGTAAAAAATTAAAGCTCTGTAATCAGGAAGTGTAATTTTAGCATCAAAAAAAAAACTATGTAGCTTGGGGCACCTGGGTGGCTCAGTCGGTTAAGTGTCCGATTCGACTCAGGTCATGATCTCGCGGTTCGCAGGTTCGAGTCCCATGTCGGGCTCTGCTGACAGCTCAGAGCCTGGAGCCTGCTTCAGATTCTGTGTCTCCGTCTCTCTCTGCCCCTCGCTTCCTCACACCATCTGTCTGTCTCTCTCTCTCTCTCAAAAATAAGTAAACGTTAAAAAAAAACAAAAACAAAAACTATGTAGCTTTAAGTTTTAGGACATGTATTTGTGATCTCTCTCAAGATCCCATTAAATAGAAAAAAAAGAATAAATCAAACCATGAATAGGGGTGGGGGTGGAGTAGTAGCAAGGGAGTTCAAAAAACTTCTGTAAGACACAAAGCAGCTGAAAGTATGTTAATAAATCAGAGAGCCATACAAGATATTAGTGATTAAAGAAGCATTTCTCAAAAAAAGAAAAACAAAGCCTAGAACAATTATGATACAAATAAGAAACATACTTATTCACTCTTTTAACTTAGTTAATACAATGTAAGGAAACAGACTCTATACAATCCACCAACTAGGGCTGGGTGGTTCAGCTGGCTGAGGGTCACACTTCAATTCAGCTTATGATCTCATGGTTCTTGAGTTCAAGCTCCACGTTGGGCTGGGCTCACTGCTGTCAGCACAGAGCCACTTTGGATCCTCTGTCCTCCCCCCCGCCACGCTTTCCCCACTTGCGCTTGTATGCGCTCATGCACACGCTCTCTCTCAAAAGTAAACATTAAAAAAGAAATCCACCAGCTAGAAACATTTTCCATCAAGTGGCATATATGTCATTACATAAAAAGAAGAAACTATATAATCCTAACACTGTACTTGGTTCAGCAATAAACAATATTTACATGGTCACAGTAAGTGCTGATTCTTGGTTTTCTAATTTTATTTTATTTAAGTTTATTTATTTTGAGAGAGAGAGAGAGAGAGAGAGGCTCGGTCAGAGAGAGAGAATCCCAAGCAGGCTCCATGCTGTCAAGTGCAAGAGCCCCACATGGGGGCTTGAACCCATGAACCATGAGATCATGAACTGAGCTGAAATCAAAAGTTGGGGACACTGAACAGACTGGGCCATCCCTTTAGTTTTCAAATTTTGTAATCAACCTACAGGCAAAACATAAAATATGTGATTATTGTTGCTGAATAAAATATGTTACTTGACATTATAAAAATAAAGGTACTATGACAGAATTAAAAGGTGCAAAGAGGAAAAGGTTCAGAACTAAAAAATAAATAACCAGTAACAATTTGTTTTAAAAAAGGAAGGCTACATCTTCATTTTTCATGTGAGGAATCAAAGATAATGTCTAAAGACAAGTCAAGAAATCAGTTAAAGTTAAAGCTGGGGCACCTGGGTGGCTCAGTCGGTTAAGTGTCCGACTTCGGCTCAGGTCATGATCTCTCACTTTGGGGGTTCAAGCCCCACGTTGGGCTCTGTGCTGACAGCTTGGAGCCTGCAGCCTGCTTCAGATTCTGTGTCTCCCTCTCTCTGACCCTCCCCTATTCATGTTCTGTCTCTGTCTCAAACATAAACAATAAAAAAAAAATTTTTTTTAAATAGTTAAAGCTATGGTGATATCCGTAAGAATTAAAAAATTTAAAGATGCTTAAAAATGGTTGCTTTCAGAAAGTTGTCATAGACTGTACCAAGGTCATATCCAAAAGACTCAAGAGCCAACATGAAGGAGCTTCAACTGGCTAAAAATGGTACAATCTGAGCGTCAAAAAGAACAATGTATTAGATTAAAACATAAAATATGTTGGGGGGCGTGGGTGGCTCAGTTGGTTGAGCATCCTACTCTTGATTTCGGCTCAGGTCATCATCCCAGGGTTGTGGGATCAAGCACCACATCAGGAATTGTGCTGAGCGTTGAGCCTACTTGGGATTCATATTCTCTCTCTCTCTCTCTCTCTCTCTCTCTCTCTCTCTCTCTCTCTCCCCCCCTCCATCTTTTCCTCTCTCTCCCCCTCCCTCCCTCTCTTTGCCCCTCTCCCCCACTTGTGCTCTTGTTAAACATTAACAACATAAAATATGTTAACCCCAATGGCTGTTAAAATGATTCTGTAAAAAAAAAGAAAACTAGGGGCGCCTGGGTGGCTCAGTCGGTTAAGTGTCCAGCTTCAGTTCAGTCGTGACCTCACGGCTCGTGGGTTCGAGCCCTACATCAGGATCTGTGCTGACAGCTTGGAGCCTGGAACCCGCTTCATGTTCTATGTCTCCCTCTCTCTCTGCCCCTCCCCTGCTCATGCTGTCTCTGTCTCTCAAAAATAAATAAACATTAAAAAAAGAAAATTAAAAAAAAATGGTGAGGTTTTTTTTTATACACCAGCAACAAACAATCCAAAAAGAAATTATGAAATCAATTCTATTTACAATGACATATAAAATAATTCAATATTTGGGAATAAACTGATCAAGGACTACAAAATACTGCTGAAAGAAATGAAAGATCCAAGTAAATAGATGCTCACTAAAGGAGGATTTAACACTGTTAAAAGTCAATACTACCAAAAATGATCTTCAGATTCAATGCAATATTTATCAAAATGTCAATAGCCTTTTTGGTAAGAAACGGAAAAGCCAGTTCTCAAATTCATTACGAGATTGCAAGGTGCCCTGTATTCAGGGCCCAAACAATACTGAAAAAGAATAAAGTTGAAGGACTCATACTTTCTGGCTCTGAATTTTACTACAAAGCTGCAATAATTAAAACAGGAGGAGACTGGAGTAGGGACACACAGACCAAAGGAACAGAGAACCCACAAAAAAAAAACAAAAACAAAGCGAAACCAAAAAAACCACATGCATATGCTCAGCTTATTTTCAACAAGGGTCCTAAGGCCATTTAATGGGACAAAGAACAGTCTTTTCAACAAATAGTCCTGGAAAAGCTGGATGTCCACCTGTAAAATAGTGAAGTTGAGCTCTCATTTTTATACCATATACAAAAATTAACTCAAAATGCATCAGACCTAAAACTCAAGGCTAAAACTATAAAACTCTTGGAAGAAAATACTGGGGAAAATCTTTATGACATTGGCTTTGGCAGTGGCTTCATAGATAGGACAACCAAAACCACAGGCAACACAAGAAAAAAACAGATAAACTGGACTTCATCAAAATTAGAAACTTTTATACATCAAAGAACATCAACAAAGTTACAAGCAACCACAGAATGGGGAAAAAATAGGTGTATATCACAGAACTTGATAAGGCATTAATATCCAGAATGCCTGAAGAACCCCTACAACCCATCAACAAAAAACCTAACAACATGATTAAAAAATGGACAAAGTCCCTGAATAAAAATTTTGCCAAAGACACACAAATGGCCCATAAGCACATCAAAAGAGGCTCAGTATCACTAATCATTAGGGAAATGCAAATCAAACCCACAATGAGATGCCACTTCACACCCACTGGCGTGGCCATTATAAAAACCAAAACCAAACAGAAAAATCAAGCGTTATTGATCATACAGAGAAACTGGAACCCTCATATACCGCTAGCAGGAATGTAACATGGTGCACACCCTCACTGTGGGAAACAGTATGGCAGTTTCTCAAAAAGTTAAACATAGAACTATCATAAGATCCAGCAATTCCACTCCTAATATCCAAAAGAAATGAAAGAAGAAAGTCAGTTATTTGTACACCAATGTCCAGAGCTGCCTTATTCACAAGAGCTAAAATGTGGAAATAAACCATGTCCATCAACAGATGAATAAACTGTGGTATAAACATACAACAGCATATTAATCAGCCGTAAAAAGAATTAAATTTTGATATATTCTACAACATGGATGGATCCTGAGAGCATTATGCTAAGTGAAATAAGCCAGACACAGAAGGGCACATATTGTGTGATGCCACTTATACAATGTCCCAAGAATAGGCAAATTCATAGAAAGTAGAACAGAGGTCACCAGGGGCTAGGGGAAGGAGCGAGTACAGAGTTTATACTGAGGATAACCAAAGTTTTGGGTATAGACAGTGGTGAGGGTTCCATAACACTGTGAATGTATACCTAATACCACCAGATTGTATTCTTACAAATAGTTAAACTGATAAATATATTATGTATAGTACGCCACCATAAAAGAAAAAAAAAACGCTGATGGGGAACTTTACGGTAGATAAATCAGGTTTGACGATTCTGTAGCACTTTGATCACAGGGAGATGAACAGAAATTATGTGCCTCTTGACGGGACGCAATAGGAAATATACATAATCACTGACTAGATAGTTAATGATTTCATGGAATTGTGATTTTTCAGACGTTATAATGACACCATAGTTCTGTTTCTTAGAAAGTTATTTCTAGTCAGGAATTACACTGAAAATTTTCCAGATAACATGAAAAATGGTATCTGGAATCTGCCCTAAAATAATACAGTGATGGGGAGGGAAGGGAGCTGGAATATGGATAAGACTGGCTGGCTTTGTGACAAAAGCTGATGAGTCTAGCTGTGGACACACAGGGGTTCATTACACTGTTCTACTTTTGAATACGTTTGAAATTTTCCCTAATTAAAATCAAAGGGGTACACTTGAGGAATGGCAATAGAAGTGAGGAGAGGGAGATATACTTAGTTTTATATCATTCTGTTTTCAGAATTTCAGAATTTTAGAAAATAGGATATTACATAAAAGATGAATGGACTTTTGTTAGATTTCAGAGTATCAGAATTAAACTATATATTTTATTTATTTATTTATTTTTAATTTTTTTTTTCAACGTTTATTTATTTTTGGGACAGAGAGAGACAGAGCATGAACGGGGGAGGGGCAGAGAGAGAGGGAGACACAGAATCGGAAACAGGCTCCAGGCTCCGAGCCATCAGCCCAGAGCCTGACGCGGGGCTCGAACTCACGGACCGCGAGATCGCGACCTGGCTGAAGTCGGACGCTTAACCGACTGCGCCACCCAGGCGCCCCTAAACTATATATTTTAAAAGCGAAAAGGCAACTTCAAGATAGAGAAAACTTGTGGGTACTTAGTGGCTCATAACCTTATGGCATTAGGGATGACAAAAGGTAAGAGATGGAGAAAAATGTCAATCCGTTGGGGTTAGGCAAATAAACTGATAAAAAAACTAAAAATCACAAATAGTTTTTAAAGAAATGACCCATGGTTTATCTTTTCAGATTAATAACTTCCCATAAAGCCTTTTTTGGGATCACGTTCAGACAGAGCCCTACTCTAGAGAGACCACTGGCCATTTATGGTAACCAGTTTCTTACGACCTTATACCTTGTACCCTACGCTTTTTTACTACGTTCTAGGCCACTTAAGTTTTATAAGAATGGAAATTTTCAAGAAGCACAACAGGTAATGAACTCTATGGAAAAAACCATACATAGAGTAGCTTTGCCTGAGCAGCAGAAAAAAATGAAGTGGCCTGAATGTAGCAGTATTTAAAAAAAAATTTTTTTTTTAACATTTATTTATTTTTGAGACAGAGAGAGACAGAGCATGAACGGGGGAGGGTCACAGAGAGAGGGAGACACAGAATCTGGAACAGGCTCCAGGCTCTGAGCTGTCAGCACAGAGCCTGACACGACTCTCGAACTCACAGACCGCGAGATCATGACCTGAGTCAAAGTCGGACACTTAACCGACTGAGCCACCCAGGCGTCCCAGAATGTAGCAATATTTAATGAACATGACAAAGACCAAACCTTCTAGAGCACAGTTTACATCAACACATAGCACAGGTTTCTCAATTTGACTTTTTTTCTCTTACCTTTAGAGTTGCTCCTACCCAAAAAGAGTAACAGGTGTCTACGGGCTTATTAGGTCTTCCATGATAACCATTTTGTTGCCTCATTATACACCACCTCTTTATCCGGTTCAATTCTTTTTCTGAAAAGACTTCTTCTAGTTTACCCATCAGACACAGTGATGCAATGCCACAAAAAGTCGATCCTCCTGTTAATTGAAACCACACAATACTTCAAACTTCAAACTAGATACCCAGGAAAACAGTATAAAATGGCCGGAGGAAAAAAAAAATAGTGGTTACAGAATTCTAGAAGACAGTCAGATACGATTAAATTTAAACTTTTTTTTTCAACGTTTATTTATTTTTAAGACAGAGAGAGACAGCATGAACGGGGGAGGGGCAGAGAGAGAGGGAGACACAGAATCGGAAGCAGGCTCCAGGCTCTGAGCCATCAGCCCAGAGCCTGACGCGGGGCTCGAACTCACGGACCGCGAGATCGTGACCTGGCTGAAGTCGGACGCTTAACCGACTGCGCCACCCAGGCGCCCCTAGATACGAGTAAATTTAGAAGACAATTAATTACACCTTTAAAATAACCACAAAGCACTGAAGTCTTCAATATTAATTTGAAGAAACAGAAAATGACTGAAAATAATATGTAGCTGTAAGAAATACTCTACTTATGAAAAACAAAAGACTTGGGAGGGTAAGGAACATATTCAAAATTACACAGTTTAATGGAAGGGCTGAAACTTAAACCTAGGACAACTCCTCCCTGTCCAGGTCTCTGTCACCCAAGTCTGATTTAATTCCTCTGAAGATGGCCCAATGCTCATGAACCGTGGTGCCACTTGCCTGAGACTACGGACAAATTATGACATGTAGCACAGACAAGCTAGAAGCGGATATGCAGAAAGACCTACTCAGCTTAAAAAATTTAAGGAAGGAAAGTCTGAGTGAGGGTGCTGGGGGCGGGGTGAGGAGAAAAGCCTATCAGGAAAGACATGCACAGTGAGTCCCATTCACTGTGGTAGATTGAAGGACGCACCCCAAAGAGAGACACGTCCAGGCCCTAATGCCTGGACCACGTCAATGTTACCTCCTATGGCAAGAAGGACTTTGCAAATGTGATCACAGATCTCTCATTGGAGGGATTGTCTTGGACTATCTAGGAGGGCCCTAAATGCAACCACAGTGTCCTTATGAAGTGGGGCAGAGGGAGATTAAACTACAGAGGAGGTTCAGACTTGTCTTCCAGAACTGCAAGAGAATACATTTGTGTTGTTTTATACCCCTAAGTTTGAGGCAAAAATGTTACAGCAGCAACAGGAAACCAATACACTTGGAAACGTGATTGCTTTCCTTTGGAATTGAAAAGTCAGTCTTTTTCCACAAAGTAAAAGAAACAACTTTGCACCGGCACTATCTGCTGTCAAGTCCAAACAATATGAAAATACTTATATTTCCAATTTATCACGACTTCAGCTAGTGATGAATTTCAGCAATATAGATGGATGGTTTCTAATATGCTTCATCCTTTCCTTTCCTTTCCTCCTTCAACTTTCCTTTTGCTGTTACAATGCTTGCATGCATTCTCTGGCAACGGAAAGTGTGCATTCCGTCTAGAAAACTCAGGGCAGCCATCACATTAAAAAAAGTCACTGTCAGGGTGCCTGGGTGGCTCAGTCGTTAAGCATCTGACTTCAGCTCAGGTCATGATCTCACGGTTTGTGAGATCGAGCCCCGCTTTGGGTGAACTCGAGCCCCGCTTCAGGTGAAGCCCATTTCTCTCTCTCTCTCTCTCACTCTTTCTCTCTCAACACCACCCCCTCCACCTCGGCCCCTCGCTCACCTGTGCCCTCTCTCTCAATAAAATAAAACAATAATACTATTTAATCTTCAGAAATTTTTCCAGTGACTTGAGAGATCTATGTTAGTCATGAATGAATTAGAAAAATAAAACAAATTTATAATAACCTTTTAGAATAATTCCTATTAAGCAACTAATTTTATTGCCTCTTTAATAACCTACCAATTTCAATTTGTCTTTCATGACAACCTGGCCACGACTTCAGGTGTCATTACATCGTTAAAAATAAAGTCTCCAAAAGGTAACAAATATTCATTAACTACAAAAAAATAAGGGGGCCTGGCTGGCTCAGTCAGAATAGCATGTGACTCTTCATCTCAGGGTCCTGAGTTCAAGCCCCACGGTGGGTGGAGAGATTACTTAAATAAAATTTTAAAAACAAAGCCAAAAGAAAACAAAACAAAAAACTACCAAAAGTAAAAAGAGGCATTTAACTGTTACTCTCCAAATTACTTGTTAGGATTCTTTAAAAGCAAACTGGCACAATTCAAAGTAAAAATACTCTTTACTTTTTGCCCAATCACCAGTTTTGCACAATGACAGTTTCTTAAGTAAGTCTGAGCTCTGAGTAGCCAAAAACACTTATTGCAAAGTCTATGCTTTAAGCTAAAATTCATTTACCAACATTTACCCGAGAGGTTCTTGTTTTACACAAAATTCTAAACAAGTATTTCTAAAACCTGGATTAAAAGTATTATGTTAGAAGAGTATTAGAGGCAGATATAAACACAGCAAGAAAAGCCAGATAACATCTCAGTAAGTCAATTAAGAAACACCATAAAAAAGTAGGCACAGGAACTCCTATTTTTTTTTAAGTTTATTTATTTATTTTGGGGGGAACGAGAGAAAGGAGGAGGGAGAGAGACAGAGAGACAGAATCCCACGCAGGCTCTGTGCTAACAGCACAGAGCCTGACACAGGGCTCGAACCCATAAATTGTGAGATCATGACCTGAGCGGAAACCAAGAGTCAGACACTTAACCAAATGAGCTACCCAGATGCCCCAGAAACTCTTTCTTCTCTCAGGATTCATGATATAAAAGTAATAGGCCAAAAAAGATAATATGATTCCATGAGTCTTCCAAAATATTTCTACTCCTTAATCCAGAAGAGAAACAGTCAACTCTTTGACATAATTTCCTAAATTACTTATATATTTATTTATATATCCTATATATTCATATATTTGTTTATATAATAATTATTATTTATTTAGCCCCTAAAGAGCTAAATAAGGTTATGTCAATGACCCTACAAGCTTCAAAAAATTTCAAGAATATTACATCGTTAAAGTATAACACAAAATTGCTTCTCATAATAATTATCTGAATTCAAGAAAAGGTTAAGTTGTGTTCATTATGCCTTGGTAAAATACCCTTCTTTACCAAAGGTTATTATGGCAAGAGATATTAACACACACACAAAGAGAAAGATCAAAACCGCCGAGTTTGCCACCTGAAGCGTGACACTTCAGCCACATGGATAGTTACCATGTGCAGAATGCCGCAGTCACAAGACATCACAGATGGAAGGGACCACCGAGGTCGGGTCTCTCTAACAATCTACCTCAGCTCTCCCAGGGGCAGGGTGAAGGAGGTATTCCTGACTCTAGTCCTGGATGCTAGGACTTACCTACAGTTTAACAGTATAACAGGTGTAAGTTAACTAAATGCTCCCATAAGGCGTTAAAACCCAACTTTAAGCATTCTCTTAGTATTTATTTGCATGTACCAAATTATCTGAAGGAATCCACGTACTCTGAAATACATAATTTAAGATGGTTAACAATCACACAGCTAGGAATAAAATAAAAGGTACATAAATAACAGTAACTAAACCATTTTATACTTAAACACCTGGAAAAGGTAAAGTGAGGAAAACTCAAGGGAACTGAATGCTTAGGTGAAATTAGGCCCAAAAGTTGAGTATTTCTCTTTTGGATTAAGGAGTAGAGATGTTCTGGAAGACTCATGGAATCACATTAACTTATCTGACCTATTACTTTTATATTATGATCCTGGGAGAAAAAAACAGCTTTAATCCTAGCAAAGCAGGAAAACCCAATTCTTCCAGACACAAGAGCATTTTACCCTACAACTGTACTAGCGCGTAAGCCACTCACTCACTAGGATAAGAAGGGATCATCATATCTGATGGTCACAGCCTAGAAGGATATCATGTGCCTGTGTTGTCTGCAGGACGAACGGGCTCTCGGCAGCAGCGGGAGAAAAGCAGATGAACCATGGCACAGGTACGCAGCCCAGACTCAGCCTCCCCAGCTTCAGGACGCAGAGAGGGACAGAGCACAACCAATTCAAATACTTACTGGACAACCACAATGTACAAGCGCAAGCGGAGTCAGACACGAATGAGACATCTGGCACAGAAGACAAGGCACATGAGAAAATGGTATGAGCCAGGTGTTACAAGGAACACAGAAAAGGGACCAGCTGCTCGGGGCTGGGCGATGAGATACCACGGACAGCCTTACACAGGGAATGGAACAAGGCACAGGAAGACAGGCAAAACTCTGGAGGTTTCAGGGGAAGGGAAAAGAGGAGCAGCAGGTGGAGGAAAACACTTCAGGCAAACGACGGACAGTATTTGCCAAGCTCGGAGGTGAAAGGGCATGTGAGGACATTTGGGGAATATGTGTTCTCTGCAGCCTGGAATGCACGGCAGGGGTCACTCATGAGCGGTCTACAAAGCTAGGCTGGAAAGGGGCATGGAGAACTAAAATGAGGGCACAAAGTCACTGCTGAGAAGCACCTGGGTGACTCAGTCGGTTGGGCAGCGAACTCTTCGGACTCTTGATTTCGGCTCAGCTCATGGTCTCCAGATTGATGGGATCAAGCCCCACGTCAGGCTCTGCGCTGACAGTGTGGAGCCTGCTTGAGATTCTCTCTCTCCCTGACTCTCTGACCCTCCCGTTTGTGCTCTACCAAAATAAATTAAAAAACATTAAAAAAGAAAGAAAGAATAATGAAAGAAAGAAAGAAAAGGAAAGGAAAAGAGAAAACAAAAAAAGAAAGAAAGAAAGAAAGAAAGAAAGAAAGAAAGAAAGAAAGAAAGAAAGAAAGAAAAAAAGAAAGACAGACACTGCTGAGCAAGCACAGGGTTTCATCTGGACTGACACGTACCAGATACATGAGCCTACTAGGTTAAGTCACACTCAGTAAAATGACAATGGCTACTGCGGTGGTTTGGTATCATGTCAACTTGGCTAAGCCAGGATTCTGCTTCCCAGAATCCCCTTCCCTATCCGGTCTGGAGTCTGAGAAATCTGGGTAAGATGTGTGAGAAGGAAGAGAAGCAGCAGCCACTATCCTGGCTGGGGGTTCAGGGAGGCGGGGGACAAAGGCAGAGGTGCTGGGAGGTTTCAACTTGGCCCCCCGCCCCCGCCCTCCCATCCCCCAAATATTCAGAATGTGAGTCCGCTTTACTCCCTGCCCTGGGGACCCGAGGCCCATAGCCAGATGCTGGAGCAGCAGCCCCCACCGGAGTCCACTAACACAGTCCTGTTCGGGCAGCTCCATGTGGCTTTCCAGATTCTCCAGCCAGGTCTCATGGTCCACCTGGGCCAGGGCTTCACGAGGGCTTGTCAGTGACTTTTCTCTGACAAATCAACTTCCGCTTTCAGGCCTTACTTCTCCATCCTCTTCCAAAACTGTGTGTAACCTTATTCCTACAATAAATCCCTATTCTCTACTACTCATGGTGGTTTTGCTTCTCTGATCGCATACAAAGATTCCCACTCTCAGACGGCTGGTGTGAGGATTAAAGAGACTAAATGGTAGCTGGCACAGAGCAGCTGCTCAATAATAACTTCCTGTCCTTCCACTCTGTAGATCAAGGATTATAAACTATGGGGGAAAACTGGTATAAATGCAAATAAAAAAACAGAACAGCAAAATAAAATAGAACATGAGATCATACGTCCCAAATTCTGGATATCTGGCTCATACGGACAGAAAAACCAGCAGATCTGGTAGTAGCTGTTCTGCATTCCTGAATAGCAAATACACGCTTGGGTGAAAGAAGAAAACGATGTTTTAAAAGTGTGCAACTTGAGATGAAGTGCTCTGAAGGGAGAGGTGCCTGGCAGGCCGGTGGAAGGGAGCTTGTACGTCCAAAGCAACAGTACAGATCTGGAGAGAGAGTGCTGGGAGCCATAGCACAGGGATGATTAATAAAGAACCAACCATTAGTTCATCCAAGTGTGTGCCACACTTATACATGTGGGGGATAAGGAGTGACTAAAAGAGGCAAAGATCTCTGTTCTCAGGTGGGGACAGAGAGGCAATGAACAAACCGATAAAATATAATTCACTGAAAAACAGACAAGGGGATAGGGAGCAGAGCATGTGTATGTGATGTGGGTGATTTGCAATCTCAAAAATGATCATTAAAAGCAAATCATCTGAGCCAAGACTTGAGGGATATGAAACAAAGCCAAATGTAAGCTCGAGGTGAGGGTGGAGAACACAGAACAGCAAGTACAAGAAAGAACAACCTGGAGATTCAGAAAGATGAATGGCTCAAAGGGAAGAAGAAAGGTGGGTCGAGGTACGGGTGAGAGAGGAAGACACAAACACAGTGAAGGAGCCAGAGACAGCCTGTGAGGAAGCCAGGCACTTGGAGCGTATGCTTCCAGAAAGGAGGGGAGAGGCTGACAGCTCCCGGGGCTTCAACAAACAAGGTGAGGAGTGAGAAGGCGACAATGGTTTGAAAGCTCAACCACTCAAGACTTTAAATGAGAAACTTCCAAAGTTGCTGAAGGCTTACACAGAAGGTTGAAGAACAAGCCACTCGTGTAGAAAGGTGAATAGTGTATTTGGACTGCTAGTCTAAAAAGATTAACAGAAAGAAGAAGGGAGAAGATAAAGACGAGAAGGGCGGCCAAACTGTAGGCTGACTTCTGAGGAAGAGTTTTTGCAGCGCAGAGAAGGAACAGAAAGCAGGGAAGGAAAGCCACAGCCACCATCTAACCTCACAGCACACCAAGAACACGGTAATACCTGACCTGTGTAGGCGCGCTGTGTAGGCTCACTATACAGGCTCATTGTATAGGATCACTGTGGTAGACACACTGTGTAGACGCACGGTGGTAGACTATGTAGGCACACTGTGTAGGTTCACTGCATAGACACACTGTGCAGACACATTGTAGATGCATTATGGTAGACTGCAGGTGCACTGCATAGACACAGTGTAGTCTCACTGTTTAGACACACTGTGTAGATGCACTGTGTAAACTCACTGTGGTAGACCGTGTGGGCACACTGTATAGACACATGGTGTAGGCGCACCGCGTAGACACACTGTGTAGACACAATGTGGTAGGCTCACTGCGTAGACACACTGTGTAGCTGCACTATGTAGACACACTGTTGTAGGCTCACTGCGGTGCCCTAAGAGGGGCTCCTGGCCAAAGGCCATCTTGCTGGAGATTCCAGACACACAGCTCGGCTCAGCTGTCCCAAAGGTGGAGGGAGCAGCATCCCGGCATACCTGGAGCCCACTCACAGGACACCAACACACTGTGGCTGTCTGAGTGGGACGCCCTCCTCCAGGGCTTTGGGTCTCCAACCCAAAACTTTAGAGAGAAAAGAAAGATGTAAGCTTTCTGGCTGGAACCACGGTCCATGACTGATGATCTTGATGGGTGTAATCCTATTCAAGTCACACAGACTTAAAATCACGCCTAGCGTGACTCGGCAAGATTTTTTCCTGACAGGATCTGTCAAAGAGTATCATGTCTGAGCGGCCCTCGGTTTCCTGTCTCGGCGAATGCAATCCCAACTGCCCGGGAACAACAGCGTCTGTTCCACAGTCTCCCCTACTGGTAACATCTCCCCTCAGCCAGAGTGCCCGTTAACACCCTCTACAACAGCAAGCATGAGACCCTCTCTTCTGGGAAACTCGCAGACACCAGACTTCCCCTTTGCACAAGTACGAGTACACATCCCTCCTCACCAAGTGGTGGTGACCAGTGACAGAAAGACTATGGTGGCTTGCCACAGCCCCGATCTCACACAGACTCAGGCACACATGGAATCATGGCATCCCAACTACAGGATGGCTTCAGAGGAAACGCTGACACGGTCCGCTACATACCCCTTAGCGATACACACTTTACAAATACCTACATCGAAGGAGGGAGTGAAGATGCGTGACAGGGAGGAGAGACCTGAGAGGACAAGGTCCCCAGGGAAATCCAAAGATACGGGGCCAGAGAGTGTATGTAAAAAGTGTCCTTTTATAAAACATGTTTTATAGTTTACAAACCACTTTCCCCCTTATCTCTCGGAATCCTAACAACAATCTTAAAGTTAAAGAAAGATCCAATTATTTCCAGTCTGTCAGAGAGACTGAGGAGCCAGGTCCCATTGTGGGTACCAGGGCTGAGACCCATTCTCACTGCTCTGCCATGCTGCAGGCACAGACAGGTTGCTGTAATAAAGAGGAAACCTAAGGAGTTCACTCAGAGAGCCTCCTTGATCTAGGCTCTCTCTCTCTCTCTTTTTTTCTTCCCATGTTTATTTATTTTTGAGAGAGACAGAGACAGAATGCGAGTGGGTTGGGGCAGAGAGAGAGGGAGGCACAAAATCCGAGGCAGGCTCCAGGCTCCAAGTTGTCAGCACAGAACCTGACGCGGGGCCCGAACCCACGAAGTGCGAGATCATGACCTGAGTCGAAGTCAGATGCTCAACCAACTGAGCCACCCAGGCGCCCCTCGGCTCTCTCTTTTAAAAAAAAAAAAAAAAGCATGGCTGGGGCGCCTGGCTGCTCCCATAGTGGAGTGTGCGACTTTGATCTCGGGGTTGTGAGTTCGAGCCCCACACTTGGGGGTAGAGATTACCCAAAAATAAATCTTTAAAAAAAAAGAAATTTAAAGAGCATGGCAGTTTATTTACTCCTACATGCGAATAGTCAATTTGAAAGACATCAGGCTACTGATGTGCTGACAAATGAAGTGCATTATCTCCCTGTATTCTGGTTCCGCCCAAAGTGGGGAAAATGGGGAAAGGAGAAATTGTATCAATGCACATACTCTATGCAGCAAAACGTTTTCTGACTATGACTAAAGACTATTAGATTAAAAATGTTCCTTTCTTGGGGCGCCTGGGTGGCGCAGTCGGTTAAGCGTCCGACTTCGGCCAGGTCACGATCTCGCGGTCCGTGAGTTCGAGCCCCGCGTCGGGCTCTGGGCGGATGGCTCGGAGCCTGGAGCCTGTTTCCGATTCTGTGTCTCCCTCTCTCTCTGCCCCTCCCCCGTTCATGCTCTGTCTCTCTCTGTCCCAAAAATAAATAAACGTTGAAAAAAAAAAATTTAAAAAAAATGTTCCTTTCTTCACAAATTCATGCCTAACAATTCTGCATCAAGCCCTTTAGCGTTATGCCAAACAAGAAAACTTGGTGTTTTCTAGTGCTAGGTTGAGAAATCACCCCAGGATATTTTCATGCAGCTAACACTCAAATAGGTAAATAGAAAACATTACTAGAAAAGTATGAATATCCCGTCTGAATAATCTCTGATTACTGACCAAGGAGCGGGTCAAACTGGCACAAGTTGTCAAAAGAAACAGCCAGGCCGTGCCACAGACTGACACAAACTTCTGGGGGCCTCCATGTCGAAGACACCATGATGTTATTTAAAGGGACAAAAGAAACTACACGTTCATTTATGTTAAGATGTCTTACCATGAGATTCAAGTCCAGCTCCCTGTGCCAGCCCATTGTCATAGGACTGAAAAAGAAAAACATCGTTCAGTTTAATAGGGAAAGGATAAAAAATAAGTAAGTCCTCATGCTAATTTTTTGTTTCTTGATCCACTTTTATTTCTCCCTTATATCTTCTAAAATACTCTTTCCTACAAAGGGGTAGTTCGAGCATTTTCAAGTACCTGATCTTATCTTATCCACCAAGTGAAATCACTAAACGCATACAGTTTGCACATTCTGAGATAGATTGTTCAGATAGCATCTATAGATTTGATTTCTACCAATAAAAAGACCCAAGCCTTACTCTTTTCCTATTGCAAGAATATACAAGTTGAAGGAAAATGGAGACTCTATACTCATAAAATATTATAAACACGAAACAAGTCTATTTTGAGACTTTTGGGCAGCCAAGGATCACAGTGCCTGCCTACCTTTGGATCTCCCCACACATCCTGCAAAATCAAAACAGAACAACAATGCAACTATATAAAACTGAAACCTTAGAGAAGCTGGAAGACACACGAAGCTATAAATTACCTGCCTGTAGAAAAAGAAACGTCAAATCCCAGCAAGCTGCCTCTCACATCCCGCCACCTTTCTGCAGAGAGTGAGGGAAGTGTACGGAAAATCGTGAGGAAGGGAGTGGCAGGGAGCCAATGGGAGGCCTGAGACTCATCTAAAATTACTGCCAAAAGGAGAAGGTCCACCTTAGGCTGGCGAAGGACAGGCAGTCTTTGCTTTGTGCAGATCTGATATTACGAAGTCTGGGTACCATAACTTAAACAACACGATACGGATTCAAATGTCAGTCCCCACGGTGTATTAACTGTGGGCAACTGCGCGGAGTACAAACTTGATGCTAGCACCTCAGCTCACAAATCGCTACGTGAATAACAGATGTGCATCACAATCAGTAACCAATCCAGTCCTCTTTTTCAAAGTCTGTTAGTCACGGGTCACTGTGCTTATTATTCAGTTCATGCACGGACAGCAAAGCGTAGGGGTGCGTTGTCTCTTTGTCTTAGTAATAAACCCACATGACGTTTTCCAAAAACAGAACCAGAATAGACTGGCCACCAAAGATAAAAGTGCAGTAAAGAAACGAAAAGCAGTACCACTAGAAGTGAAAATGAGATCAAACACGGAGCTTAGAAATAGCTGATCATAAGAATATGGACAGCACCACTGTCTGAGACCAGATACGACGTCAGAAGAGTAAGTGAAGGCAGAGCATCTAAGTGGGGACAATGGCCATGATGACAAGGATGGAGACATTCTAGAGAAGGGATGCTGGCAAAAAACTTCACAGGAAAGGAATCCTTCAAGTTATTTCACAACAATGACACCACAAAGGATAAAAGGTTGGATGCTGCTACAAACCTAGGAAGGAGTCCAATCATTTACGATGACAGAAAAGATGTTTACCCCATATCGTAAGTTACACAACAAAACCAAGGCAAACACCGTTCAAACTACTCCCTCTCCCTCCTCTCTCCCTCTATACATATACTTTTTTTTCCCCAAACACTTTAACTCTCACTATTTCTAATGTTTTAAATTACAATGTACTAAAACTGGTTTCACCACTTAAAAAAATTCTCTGTACATCTGTAACTGCTAGAGAGTTTGACATTGTGGCAACAAGTTGGTACGGGTCACAGAGCAGTGCTGATTCCTTCCTGCCCCCCATGACTCAGATCACTGTCCTCACTTCAGCTGAAGTGACAGTGACAGTCTCTGTCACAGTCTCTGTCACAGTCTGGCTCCACCATGCAAAGCGAGCGCTGCCTGGACGGCCTAAGTTCTGACAGAACAGAGCCCTGACTGCTGGAAAGGACCTCAGAGTCTACAGCACTCACAGGGCATGACTTTGGTAAATCAAGTTAACAAGGAAGGGAGACAGGCCCTCTGCAGATCAGGTAATAAAGGATGCTCAAAGGAGCAACATTAAGAGACCCTGAGAAACAAGAAAAACAACCTCTCTCCTACCCGAAAATCATGAACACACAACACTTTCCCCAGCATGAAAAACACAAACACAAAACAACCACAAAATCAAACTCCACAAAAACTCATGAAAGAAGTCACACTTGGTTGATTGAAAAGAGTGCACTCTGGGTTTTTAAAAAATATTTATTTTTTGAGAGAGAGAGAGAGAGAGAGAGAGAGAGCGAGCGAGCCAGCAAGGGGCAGAGAGAGAGGGAGAAAGAAATTCCAAGCAGGATCGGCACTGTCAGCACAGAGCCCGGTGTGGGGCTCAATCTCACCCAACTGTGAGTTCATGACCTGAGCCCAAACCGAGTTGGAAACTTTACCAACTGAACCACTCAGGCACCCCAAGAGTACACTCAAATAGGGGCTTGTGTAAGAAAAAAGAATATCCATGAAATGACTAAACAGACAAATCTTTATGAAGTAACTCTGGAAAGAAAACGCAGCAAATGAATGAAAACATCTCGGTGTATGCAAATCTGCCCCCATTTCCCCAAAATGGCCATAAAACAGAAGAAAATTGTAATACAGCACCCCAAACTCAGGCGCTTACTATCAGGCAAGCAGCTGGGGGTATGAAAATGAAACTGAAAATTAAGAACAGAAAGGACAAACAGTAGGAAGAAATGAAGTTCAATGACTGCAGGGAAGAAACAGAAGAAAATAAGGAATAATAAGACCAAGGAATAGTAGTCTCAAAAGAAAAGACAATAAGGGACACTGAAGAAAAGGCAGAAAACAGCCAAGAGACTAAAACTGGGATACAGAAGTCAAAAAGGTCAGAGAGAAAATGACTGAAATGAAAGACAAGCAAAGAAGAAAGAACATACACAAAATTGGAGTACCTAGAGAACAAAGCAAAAAACGGACTGGAACTTGGGGTTAGCTAACTATGGGCTACAGGCTAAATGTGGCCTGTGGCCTGGTTCTGTAGAGTCCTGGGAGTGCAGAAAATGGTCAAGCTCACTCGAAATGCAAATTAAAAATACACCGAGAGAGCATTTCTCACCCACACAAGACGGATAAAAATTAAAGAGGACGACAACTCATTTCACTGAGAGGCAGTGTGGAAAAGGCACTCTCCTACAGTGCTGGGAATATAAACTGGTCCACCCCATTTTTGGAGAGAAAATGGCAACATCTGATAAAACTAAATATGTATTTTCCTTTAGATCAAAAAAACCGCACTATTAGGAATTCATTCTGAAAATCTGTCTCCAACACATAAATGCATATGAAGATGGTTATTAGTTTCAACACTGTTTACATTCGGAAAATATGTACTCCACCTATGGAAGAATTCAAAAAAGTCATTTATGGAATGGAATAGTACAAAACTAAGTATCTTAGTTTTTTTGATAAGAATGAACAATAAAAACGTACACATCTGGGGGTGCCTGCGTGGCTTAGTCAGTTAAGCATTCGACTCTTGATTTTGGCTCAGGTCGTGCTCTCACGGTCCCTGAGTTCGAGCCCCATACTGGACTCTGTGCTGACAGTATGGAGCCTGCTTGGGATTCTCTCTCTCCTCTCTTTCTCTCCCCCTCCCCCCCCATGCTCTCCCTCGTTCTCAAAATAAATAAATAAACTTTTAAAAAAATGTACATATCTGCTCATCAAGAAGAAATACAGGAAGGCCAAACCAAACACCAATGAGATTGGTTCCCTACAGAGTGGTGGTAAAAACAAATGTTAGGAAAGGGGGAGTTAGGAAGGGACCAAAGACAAAAGGGACAGGAGACAGGGAATTACACATCTTGGAATATCTCTTTTTGTACAGTTCTCACTTTCAGAACCAAGTCAGTATTTCAAATATTAAGTAAGTTTAAAAAAAATTTTTTTAATATTTATTTTAGAGACACAGCACAAGCAAGGGAGGGGCAGAGAGAGCCAGAGACAGAAACTGAAGCATGCTGCAGGCTCTGAGCAGTCAGCACAGAGCCCAACATGGGGCTTGAACCCATGAACCATGAGATCATGACCTGAGCCAAAGTCGGATACTTAACTGACTGAGCCACCCAGGTGCCCCCAAATATTAAGTAAGTTTTTAAAAAAATCAACAAAATTGGGGCAAACTCTAAAATGGAACCCAAACAGAAACAAACTCAACTATATTTAAAAAAAATAACATAACCATAGCAAAGGGGGGAATAAAAGAAGTAACTCAAGTATTTCTTAAATATGGTATTTTGATTTACATACCCTCAGGTTCAAAACAGAGAGACAATGTATTCTGGATAACGGTAACCAGGTTGGTCACCATCAGAGAAGGGAGTTACAAAAAAACAAAAAAACAAAAAAAGGAGGATGATTAAAAAGGAACTCTGTGGAGGGCGCCTGGGTGGCTCAGTAGGCTAAGTATCCAACTCTTGGTTTTGGCTCAGGTCATGATCTCATGGTTCAGGACATCGAGCCCCGCATTGAGCTCTAACTGACAGCACAGAGCCTGCTTGGGATTCTCTCTCTCCCTCTCTCTGCCCCTCCCTTCCTCCCCACCCTCTCAAAAATAAATAAATATTAAACAGAAAGGAACCCTGTGGTGTTGGACTAAAATCCGAGGCATCAACAGGACTCACGGTTTTTAATACATATGTAAAGTAACAGAGAGGTATGTGTAAGGGAGGGTGTGTTTGTGTATAGATGCATGCATGTACACATTTCCTAGCTTGGCTTGCTGAGAGAGGGGCTAGAAGCAATGCTACCCAGGACCATGATCATAGCCAGGGCCCAAATCCTCATTTCTACACACCATCCTCCGATAAGAACCAGGGCTCCTTGAAAAAATGATCGATTCCTGGGCTATGGCTAGGAAAGTAAAAGATGAACCTGGAATATCTTCTGGCAGAAAGCAAAGGGCTGCTCAAAGCATACAGGGGGAGAGACAAAAAAAGGCACAAGCATCTGCTTGAAGGGGTTCTCACCGGCTGAATCTGGGACAATCTGACCATTAAAATATATAATGATAGTAACAGGTAATAGCCCACTGGATCAAATAAGAATCTGGAGTTCAAGGTGATATGGATAGACAGAGAAAGAGAAAGCTTTTTCTAAAAGCAGAATTTCAACTGAAAATTACAGAAGAAATGACACAGCTGGAAAATCAATTGCATACCAACACTAGCAGACAAAGAACCTGTTAGCCCAGACAATCTTATTATAGTTGGATAAAGTCTGATGAAGGACAGATTATTTGACAGTCTCCAAAACATCTCGCCACAAGATACTGAATCCTTCTAGGTGGAAAAATTCTAACTCTACAGAGAAAAATACGGCATACACCACCTTAATCGAGTGATCAAAAGTTACTATCACTGGTAACAGGGCAAGTCAGTATGCTACACTCCCAAAGACAACACACTGAGGAGTGACACAGGGTCACTTTTTTTTTTTATTTTTTTTTCAACGTTTTTTATTTATTTTTGGGACAGAGAGAGACAGAGCATGAACGGGGGAGGGGCAGAGAGAGAGTGAGACACAGAATCGGAAACAGGCTCCAGGCTCCGAGCCATCAGCCCAGAGCCTGACGCGGGGCTCGAACTCACAGACCGCAAGATCGTGACCTGGCTGAAGTCAGACGCTTAACCGACTGCGCCACCCAGGCGCCCCCAGGGTCACTTTCTTAGTGTTCATGCCAAACCACATCATCACCTATCCTTCTACAGCACATAAATCTCTGTTTCTTTTAAAACTCCTTTCAGGCTCTGTTCTTTTGGACTCCACAGGCTTTTAAAAATGCCTGATCCACATTCTATAAAATCTGATCCACATTCACACATTCAATTAAAAACAATTTCATTCCTCTAAGAAATTAATTTTCATTTTGAAACACTAAGTGAAAGTTGAATTAACAGCCGAAAATAGTCTAATCTTTAAAACTAAAAACTCAGTATTCGGGAAGTAATAAACTTGGGAAGCAACACTTCTACGTCTCCAGTTTCATGTAAGAGACGAAAAAGTAAAGCAAAAGATAATTCTGGCTGAGACTGAGCTTTCCTTACTACTGCCAATGAGAAGATTAAATTGTACTGTGAAAGAATAACATTTCCATTTGATATTCTCCTTAAAAATAAACCTTAGATTGAAAAAAAAAAAGCACACGTCAAAGTATTAACAAAAATGATCCAAAAATCTATTGCTAGCCCAGTCAATCTTGTTATATTTGGTCTCTGCTAGTCAAATGACTTATGGAACTCCCACCTCACACCAAATATAGAAACAGTCTCCTCAAAGACACCATAAATCTCTACTATGCTTGGCCAGGGCTCTCCACTGACCCCTGCGAGGACAGTTTATCAAACATGTGCCTTTGAGATTTTGCTTCTTTTTTCTTCTAGGGCTGACCAATTTCTTTCTAGTAAAGACATTTGTTTCTTCAGACATAAATTACATTTAAATTTTAATGGCCAATGAATCAATCTGCCCTTCACAATTATTTCTATATGGCTGTTCTGATTATACAAAGTATCTAAAAAGCAATGCTACTAACCTGATTTCCAGATTCTTGGTGGAAGAAAGAGGAGACGTGCATTTTACTGCAGCTCCCATAGAGCAGCAATAATGATCTAAAATAGTCGATTTATCAACGTAACTCACCATACTTCTTCTAATGTAATTGATGGCTTTTTTCATATCCATGCCAGACCAGTTGTTGAGCATATAGCAAATGCAGGAAGCACAGTATACAAATCGCATGTCATTTTCACTGCCTTCAGGGACTGCGCAGAAACTGGAAGTAATAACAGTATGACACATGATTACATGGCAGCAGAATTTATTTTTTTTATTTTCTTGCAGGGTGGGTAAGAAACACGGGCTTCATGTCTTTTGTCACAGAAAAACCTATTATTAAATACAGATTTAAAAACCATATACTACTTGTATTAAGTCAACAAATAGAACTAGTACTCGAAAAATATAAAATGATCTCTAAATCACCCTCTGCTCCCAAGTTCTGATTTCTGGGTAGCTTTCCACACTACCAGTTACTCCTTACCAGATGCTACCACTCAGAGTAAGTTTATTTGCTCCCTACCACAGTTGTGGCACGCTAGCGTGAGAATGGGGGGAATGGAGCAGGTAAAACACAGGACCTACTGAATAGTAAGAAATTCCCAAACCCAAGTTTTGATGTGTGAAATTTCTTCCAAATGTATATGTAGATAACCACTAACTGATCATATTGTGCTGTAATTCAATTTTTACCTATTCTATTAGTTTCAAGAGAAGTAACAGTCTGTGCCTGGTATCTATTTCTTTATTTATAAAAGGGATACAGTGGCAATAATCAAAGACTACACCGAAACTTGGAGGTATCAGTCACATATGCTGGCTGAGGTCAAGATTCAGTTTTGCAGTATTTCCAATTAATGATAAAATATCTTATGTGTCTACATTAGTCTTCCCCTCACCGAGAGGGGTGGTTTTTTTTTCTTTAATTGTAGTTATCATCATTTGCTTTGACAATAACCTTTATCTTTCAGTTAATGACACCAGTGTTTCAAGATTTTAAGTAAACTCTACACCAAATGTGGGGCCTGAACTCACAACTGGGAGGTCAAGAGTCACATGCTCCACTAACTGAGCCAGCCACATGCCTGAGGGAAGGTTTTTTTTGTTTGTTTTTTTTTTTTAAGTCTAGAGAGAGAGAGAGAAAGAGACAGAGAGAGAGAGAGAGCGTGCACGAGCAGGGGAAGGGCAGAAAGAGGGAGAGAGAGAATCCCTAGCAAGCTCCTCCGTGCTGCCAGTGCAGAGCCTGATGTGGGGCTCAGCCTCACGAACATGAGATCATGACCTGAGCTGAAACTAAGAGTCAGACGCTTAACCGACTGAGCCACCCAGGTGCTCCCCGAGAGCAGTGTTTTTAAACCTTGACAGTTAAATAGAGCTATTAATAGATGGAGCACTGACTTAACAATATAGCAGAATTTGTTTACAAAATCTCTTCACTAAACAGGATCACTACTGCTTTGTCATTTCCTAGATTTGAAAACAATTTTCCCCTTAAAACTCCAGATATACCATACAAACCACCAAATATTAATAAATACACTAAGTTCTTTTTCTATCTTTTATAAATGTCATTGAAACCACTTACACTAGCATCTAATATTCAGCGTTCATCCCTTTCTCCCCCCAATCACTATGTCTTAATAAAAGTTCAGATTAAATGTATGCTTACTTCAAAATATCCATTTTTTTCACCGAGAAGGTAAATTAAAATCCATCTTACAAATGAAACCATTCAACCACTTATTTATGAATCTATTTACTGTGTCACTTAAAAACAGAGAGGAAGAAAGGAGTTCTGCTACTGTAATTTCTCTTTACTCACATAAAAAATCTTGGATCTTTTTTTTCTTTTTTTGATTAGGCATTTAACTTTATGTATGTACAGTGAACTTCAGGTGGTTCTAATAAGGGTTTATGATAAACCCTAAAGTTCTAGTACAGTACTGTACCCATTTTTTACTTGTATAAAATTTTTCCAAGAAAGAAAGACAGAAAGAAAAGGGAAAAAAAAAAAAATCAAAGAGTGACCCATACCTCCCATCTTCCAGCTGAAGAGCTCTCAAGCCCGCTAAGCAAGCTTCCTTATTTACTCGGCTTAGGTCATCTCCAAGAATAACTAAGCACGAAAGGCCAGTGTAGGTCATTGCTATGTGGCCACTATCATAAGGATGAGCTGTTCCAGGATTCTAAATTCAAAATAAACATAATGTTAATGAACTAGTAAACTGAAAACTTACTTCATTAAGCAATCTAATGCAAGGTTTCAGGAACTAGGAAAATGCAATGTTTATACTGATTTGTACTGACACCTGATTGAAAAAGCAAACCTCCATTTTACATGACTCAATGTAAGTATAATCACATACTTTGCAGGCTACACAATTCTTAAACTTATCCTGCAAATCTAAAGCTTCAGGGAAGTAGTGCTTTTACACAAATAAACCAAATTATTTGAACTTCAAATGTCATCAACCATATCACTGATAACTTAAGTCTCAAGAAGTTAGAAAAGCACAGAGCTTTTCAAACAGAAACAATTTATGAAAGAAATAAAAATCCTTTTACTGTACAAATCCAAATTAAAAACCATAGTGACCACCATATAAAACTATTACAAAACAACACAGTTGAAAAACCTCATTCTGCTCCCATATACAATTTAATGAGTCTTTAAAACATATTAGCACTTAGAATAACAAAAAGCAAAGAGCTCTGTTACCAAAACTGAAAAAAATCTCTAGAAATAAAACAGTGTAACTTTTAAAATTTAGAGCCCAACGCATCCTGCTGGCAAAAAGTGTTCTGGAAGACTATCAGACCAGCAAATTGCTGAGGCGGAGCGGAGAAGTCTTACCAGGAAGCATTACCACGTTGTGTCGGATTTGTTTTACCACTCTGACTGTTTCAACAAAAGATAACCACAGTTATCAAAGAACTCTTAAGCTACAAAATATGTGACTCATATAGGAAATCCTGTAAAGACCCTAGGCACTGGCACTGGCATTGATAAAATCTGGATTTAAAAAAAGTGTTTACTATGCCAAGTAACTTGATGTCCCACAATATACAAAGCATTCAGAGTTTTAGGGGGACCTGGGTGGCACACATGATTAAGTGTCCAACTCTTGAGCTCGGCTCAGGTCACAATCTCACAGTTTGTGAGTTTGAGCCCCACATCGGGCTCTGCACTGATGGTGCAGAAGCTGCTTGGGATTCTGTCTCTCCCTCTCTCTGCCTCCCTCCAGCTTGTGCTCTCTGTCAAAATAAATAAATAAACTTAAAAAAAAACAAAAAAAAAGCATTCAGAGTTTTACAATTAATTTCAAATAATCAGCTGATCCTATGAATCAGTCACTAAAAAAAAAAAATATTTCACCTGAAAAATGTAAGATTTCACAATGTACTAATTTATGTAAGTTTAAGAATGTCTTAAGCGCTTTTTTTTTTTTAATTGAAGTGTAGTTGACACACAACGAAGAACATTTTAATTTTGAAAGAATAAGAGTGTATTTTAAAATTCATCTCTCTCACTGGTTTCCCTTCTATCTCAGTTTAGGTTCATCAATAATTGCTCCAAATTCTAGAGTAACTGCTCAGCATACTGGAAAGCGAAAGTGAAGCTTGTACCAAGGTTCTGGTTCAAGCAGACTCCTCACCTACTATAATAAATGTTAACTTCGGGGCACCTGGGTGGCTCAGTCAGTTAAACCTCTGACTTTGCTCAGGTCATGATCTCGTGGTTCATGAGTTCAAGGCCTGAGTCGGGCTCTGTGCTGACAGCTCAGAGCCCGGAGCCTGCTTCAGATTCTGTGTCTACCTCTCTCTCTGTCCCTGCCCCACTGATGCTCTCTCTCTCTCAGAAATAAAAACATTAAAAACAAAATTTTAAAAAATTATAATAAATGTTAACTTCTACAACCGGTGAAATGCATCAAATCTTGGCTATACTACTCACTGGCCTGCTTCATTCCTCCTACTAGAATGTGGATATTAGTACCTCCCTCATGGGGTTATTGTAAGGGTTAAATAAAGTTACTGTGATAAAGATGCTGGTTATCTTGGTGACGATGCAAGCACAAGGCAGATACCCAAAGGGCCAGTACTTCTTGGGAGTCATGAACTAGGGTCCCAGAACCACCAGGCAGGAAATCACATTATTTTTCTGCTCACTGACCTTCTGTGGTTCCTCACAGAACAAGTTTGCACAGTGTTCAAGACCTTCTATAATCTGACACCACCCTACCCATCCGGCCTTACGTCTACAATTCCTTATATGGTCTCACAAACAGGCCAAACAAATTTTCATCTTGCTAACACTTAGAATTCATTCTGAGTTCCTCCCTTCAACTGAAACTCTGGTACTCCCAGCTATTCTATTCCACATTTGTAACAGCCTTCTTACAACTCCCACAGCCCGTTTCATTTCTTGGTACTTAAAGTAAACACCTACTAGGTTAAAAGTACCAGGGGGAATCCAAACACAAATCAAATGTGGAGCTTAACCTTAAGGGCAGATCAAGTAATTACAATACGAAGTAGGACATAAAAGCGTCATAAGGGAGACAAAGTAACACAAAGCTTTAAATAAAGGATTCTTGTCTGTGCCAGAAGAGGAACTTGGAGGGTGGAGAGGAGAGGAGAGGAGAGGAGAGGAGAGGAGAGGAGAGGAGAGGAGAGGAGAGGAGAGGAGAGGAGAGGCGAGGCGAGGCGAGGTGAGGTGAGGTGAGGAGAGGAAAGGAGAGGCGGCTTCATAGGTAGAAGAAAAAGTAAAAGCAATGCAGAGAAAGAAAATTCTGGGTATTTAGCATGTACTGGGGACAACACATAATTTAAGAGACAATACAGAATTTGTGAAGGAAAACAGTGAGAAGAGTAGGCGGAGAGGCTCCATCAGTGTTTCCCGAAAAGTTCTCTATGGCCCTGGAAGGTCCTGGGCATTTACCAGACAGGGTGGTTTGGTGAATTCGGAAGAAAAATTGCTGACACTACTGTATTTATGTACTGTGTTGGGAAATCCCATGTGCCTCTTCAGATTCTCGCCGACTCTGAGCCAACTGCTCCTGGGGGGCCTACATGAGTCCACTGGAGTCTCCTGCTCCTTCCACCACTCAAATTCAGACGAACACAACGTGGCACGGAGTGGGACCCAACCTCCCCCAGAAGATGCCAGGGGTCTAGGTGAATTAGAGCCAAAAAGAGGTTTCGGGAGACTCTGTAAACCAAAGCAAAAATGTTTTTGTGTTTTTAAATTTTATTCTTGTTATTTAAAAAAACGTGTTGGGGGTGGCGCCTGGGTGGCTTAGTTGGTTGAGCATCGGACTTCACCTCAGGTCACGATCTCACAGTCTGTGAGTTCTAGCCCTGCACTGGGCTCTCTGCTGTCAGCGCAGAGCCCACCTCGGATCCTCCTCCCTTCCCCCTCTGCCCCTCCCCCAGTTGCTTTCTCTTTCTCTCTCAAAAATAAATAAGCATTTAAAAATAAATAAATAAAATTGTCTTCAGAAGGGGGTACAGAAGGGGATTGTCTTTTACAAGTAATGTTATCAAAGTCCAGCTTTATTTCAACGAGGGCAGGTAAGCGTCTGAATAAGGTACGGCACTATAAAGCAGCTGTCATGACCACATGGCACGGCACCCAGAGAGACTGTCCAATACGAGTAATGGGACAGCCATCTTCCTGAGGACCAGCATCAGCGGGAAAATATTACATGCACAGCAAAAAGGGAACAGATTTTGTGAATTCTTTGTTTTTAGATTCCTTGCTAAAAGCAGCGGGCACACGTGGTTAGACACATCTTGGCAAATTCACATGACCTTGACACAGGCAAGGTGATCTACAGCCTAAGGCAGAGGAAGAAAGTTGAACCAGTGCCTCTATGAAAACATGCTGCCTTCTCCCAAATTACTGCTATTTATTCTAAAATTAGGAAGAGAGTATGAAAAAACAGGCAAAAGACAACCTGCCTATTGCCTCAAATTCGTTGCTCTTCATGTGTCTTCAATCACTGCCTTGGCAAGAGCTTTTTGTTTCATTCTTTAGAAACATGAGCCAAATGTAAAGTCCTTCACTAACACAGAAGTTCACTGGCTTCCTCGAGAGCAAGCACCAAGCACAGGAGAGCTGTATTTCCAATTCTCCAGGAAATCACCAGTAATTTTGACACACAAACAATAGGAGGAGAGACATAATACTTGTGACGGTAGCAAATTCTGCATGCACACATACTGTGCATAGTTCCAGGAAGTAGGGTGGGTATCACTTTCCTTTAAGTAAAGGTCATAATACACATTAGCAGACAATATTTAGCTATAATGAAACACAGAAGCCTGGCTTCTGTGTCATTTCTTAGTTTTCTTTCCCACTAAAATCCATCCATCTCCCTCCTCCCTCCTCCCCACCCAGAAAGAACTCACCTTTGATGGGTTGAATGGAATACCCAGGTATGAAGAGCCTCGGAAACCACAGCGATTTAGATTGGATCCTAGAAAATAAAACCATGTACTTATTTAAAGTATATTTTATTTTTGAACAGACTCTAAAGCAGATCAATTATATATTCTTTCAGAAACTGAGTATTTTAGTACCAAAGCTTTGTCACTGTCTCCATTTTCATTCTAGCATGTGCCAGGTGTGTTCTCACTTTATGGGAATCTCACTTAATTTTCCAACCAGTCAGAGACAAAATAATGATTTCCTACCACATACCTTTAGTTTATAGCCTACCTCACTGCAGGTGAAATGCTTTCAAACCTTTTCTATACGATTATTTTTCATGTGATCAACATAATCAACCCCGTGTTAAAGAGCAGAAAACAGAAGCCCAGAGGTTAAGTGACATGTTCAAAGTAACAATCAGTGGATTACACATCTGGATCTGGAATCCTAACTTCCCTTCCACTGCCTTTTTATTTTAACTTACTGCTTCTTTATATGTGAGCAAACTAAACACCTAAGATGCCCTAGTCACAAAAAAATGTATGTACTTTGTATTTTAAATTTAAAAAACTTTTTTTTTTTTATTAATTTTTGAGAGAGACAGAGAGAGCAAGCAGGGGAGGGGCAGAGAGAAAGGGAGAGAGAAAATCCCTAGCAGGCTCCACACCGTCATCACGGAGCCTGATGTAGAATTCAAACTCACAAACCACGAGATCATGACCTGCACAGAAACCAAGAGTTGGGTGCTTAACCGAATGAGCCACCCAGGCACCCCCCGCCCCATACTTTGTATTTTAGTACAGACAAACCTTTGTTCTGAGTCCAATGATCCACTCTACTTTGTTTTTATTTTTTATTTTAGAGAGAGAGCGCGCACACATGCAAGCAGGTAAAGGGCGGGGTGGCGGGTAGGGAGAGAGAATGTGAAGCAGGCTCCATGCTCAGCTCAGAGCCCAACGTGGGGCTTGATCCCTGGGATTATGACCTGAGCTGAAATCGGGTCAACTGAACCACCAAGGCACCCAATCCACTCTGCTTTGAAGTACTAGGAACTTGAGAAAGAAAATAAGCTGGAAACGAAGTCACATCCATGAAAAGGGAGCCCTGTGCATTGGTGGTGGGAATATAAATTGGTACAGCCAGTATGGAATACAGTATGGAGGTTCTTCAAAAAATTATACACAGAACTACTATATGATTCAGCAATGCCACCACTGGGTAGATAGCCAAAGGAAACAAAATCACCATTTCAAAGAGATATGTGCACCCCCATGAATGCTGCAACATAATTTGTAACAGCCAAGGCATGGAAACAACCTAAGTGTCTATCAACAGAGGAGTGAAAAAAATCTCTCTCTCTCACACACACACACACACACACACACACACCCACTGGATGAGTGGATAAAGAAAATTTCTCTCTCTCTCTCTCACACACACACACACACACACACACACGCATATCCAGAATGTTAATCAGACATGAAAGAGCAAATTCTGCCTTTTGTGACATTATGGATGCCACATGCAATAAGTCAGAGAGAAACAAATATTGTACGTTCTCACTTACATGTGGAATTTAAAAAGGCTGAACCATGGAAACAGAGCAGAATGGTAGTTGACAGGAGCTGGGAGAAATGGTGAGATGTTAGTCAAAAGTACAAACGTCTACCTATAAGATGAGTAAGTTCTGGGGAGCTAATGCACAGGATGATGACTATAATTAATAGGACTGTGTTATACACTTGAAAGTTATTAGGAGAGATCTTAAATGTTGTCACCACACACTCACACAGGGTAATTATGTAAGGGGACTGTGGTAATCATTCTGCAATATATTCATGTATCAAACATCATGTTGTATACTTTACACTTACACGTGTTATATGTCAACAATACCTTTATGAAGCTGCAAAAAAAAAAAACTATAAATGAATAATTAGTTATACCCACAACAAGAAAATGGTTATGGGTTTGACTGCCATTAGAAAATCAGCATGATAGACACAGAAGATAGAAATGTAGTATCAGCAGACTGTACTGTATCATTAATTAAAAAAAAAAACATAGATTTATAAATACATTCTGACGTGAGAAACCAGTTTCATATCTCTTAGGACTGGAACATGACTAAATCATAGTAACTGTTTTTCACTCTATTTTTTCAACACAGGTACTCTATTCAGCTTTCTATCTCTCATAAACTTACAACAGTAACTTAAACATTAATTTCTTATACAATTTAGGGAACTTTATCCACTAAATTTAAAATTCTCCACTAACCACCTTACACCATTAACAAAAAAAATCTGAAAAAGGGTATTACCTAATGGTGATGATATTAATGAACATAGTTCTCTTATCTCTGCTAAAGACTTTTAAATGACTAAGCCACTTAAGACTCGCCATTATATAATAAGAGTCATAAAAAGGCTCAGACTCTGAATGGATAATGCTACATCTGAGATTGACTCCAGGAACTTCCCATATGAGAAAGGTCGTATGCACAGAAACACCCAGGGCAGTATTACACTGGTGAAAATTTAGAAGCAACACAGAAGTCCAAGAGGTTAAATATAATACTATATCTCATCAAAGGAACATGATACTGCTAATAATTAGGGAAAACTATGTAGCAACATGGAGAAATGATCAAGTTAAGAGAAAAGGTAGGATGCGAACATTTATGTGATTATGTTTACAATTAACCAAAGGATGCTTATCAACAAAGCCCAGAAAGGAATAAACAAAATAATATTGTGTGGAATGACAGGAGAGTGAATTCTGTTCTTTGTATCAGTCAGTGTTGCCATAACAAATTATCACAGAACTTATTAACTTGAAACCACACCCATTTGTTATCCGGCAGTTCTGTAAGTTCCAAAGTCCAAGATCAGCCTCACCAGGCTGGAATGGAGAGCCACCAGGGGCTGCGCTCCCTACTGGAGGCTCTGGGGGACAGTTGGCCCCAAGTTCCTTCCACTTGTCCAGTGTGTGCGACTGAGTCTCCACATCTTTGATCACCGCCAGCTGGGGCCTTTGCCACTGCTCACACTTGGGCCCCTGGACCCAAGCGTCTGCAACGGGGCTGAAATCTTGCTCCTGTCCTAGGGCCTCCCCTGTCCCCGGTACATGGAACACCTACAGATCATCTCCCTATTTTGAGGTCAGCTGACCAGTAACCTTAACTTCATTTTCAAAGTCCATGGTGCTTAGTGTTTGAATAAGTACGGTACGGGAACTTAGGGGAGAGAGAGGGCGAGGGGGAACATCTTAATTCTAACACAGCTTCCAAACTCCAAACTGGGTGTAATGTTATACTTTTCTAAAAATAAATTGTCTTCACCAAGTCACAGATGTCTTTATCCCTTTATCACCACTTGTTTTAATCCCTCCTAATTGGGGGAGCGGCATGTCAAAGGTGTATTTTCCCTAGGCTTAATATTTGATTGTATGCTGAAATTATCTTCCTTAATTCCTGACATTTTTTTTAAATTTTTTTTTTTTAACATTTATTTAGTTTTGAGACAGAGAGAGACAGAGCATGAACAGGGGAGGGGCAGAGAGAGAGGGAGACACAGAATCTGAAACAGGCTCCAGGCTCTGAGCTGTCAGCACAGAGCCCGACGCGGGGCTCGAACTCACAGACCGTGAGATCATGACCTGAGCCGAAGTCGGACGCTTACTGACATATTTTTTAATGTTTTTTTTTCTCTCTTATTTCCCCTTAGGAATGCCCTTTTAAAGATTATCCTTTTTTTTTTTTTAAATGTTTATTTATTGGGGCGCCTGGGTGGCTCAGTCAAACATCTCTTAGTTTCGGCTCAGGTTACAATTGCATGGTTCCTGAGTTCGAGCCCCACATGGGGGTCCATGCTGTCAGTGCAGAGCCTGCTTGGGATTTTCTCTGTCTCTCTTCTCCTCTTCCTCTGTCCCTGCCCCTCCCCTGCTTGTGCCCGTGCACGCGCACTCTCTCTCTCAAAATAAAAACTTAAAAAAATGTTTTTAAATGTTTATTTATTGGGGGTGGGGCAGAGAGAGAGGGAGAGAATCTCAAGCAGGCTCAGCAGAGTCAGTGCAGAGCTGGATGCGGGGCTCAATCTCACAAAAAATAAGCCTTAAAAAAAAATGGGGGTTGGGGGAGAAAGTTGTGCATCCCTGTTTCAGGTCTGAGTATATACTTCACTTAGGAAGCCTACCTTGAGCCCCCTTCTAAAAGGGTCCTGCCTCAATGTTGATGGCTGCCGAATGCTGCTGAATGCAGGCTGGGGTGGCTGTGTCAATTTCTTAAAATAAAACAATGTCTCCTGAATGCCTGACTCTTCCTATCAGGCTCTGCAGCATTTTACCCATAGTAGAACTGCTTTCAAAATTCAATCTTCTCTAAGAGACTAGAAATCGATTATATATAAATCTTCAGGTACCTCTGAATTATAAGGCAAAGGTTTACATTCAAACTTAACAAAAAATTTTTTTAAATGTTTATTTATTTTTGAGAGAGAAAAAGAGCACACACGCATGGGAAAGGGCGGAGAGAGAGGGGACAGAGGATCCAAAGCAGCGTGGACGCTGATAGCAGCGAGCCCGATGTGGGGCTTGAACTCACCAACCGTGACATCATCCAGGACCTGAGCCCAAGTCAGAGGCTTAATCAACTGAGGCAACCAGGTGCTCCTACATTCAAACTTGTTAAAAGGTCTGCAGTGAAGTCATAATCAAAAACCAAAAAAAACAAAACAAAACAAAAAAGCCCCAAAAAACAAAAATTCAATCCTTTCAATTCCTGCCACCACTTTATCACCTAGGTTCATGTAATATTCTAAATCCTGTGTTTTTGAGGTGCCTGGCTGGCTCAGTCAGTAGAGCATGTGACTCTTGATCTTGGGGTTGTGAGTTCAAGCCCCATGTTGGGTGTAGAGACTACTTAAAAATAAAATCTTTAAAAAATAGTAATAGATCTTGTGCTGCCATTTCAACAATCTTCATAGCACTTTCACCAGGGGTAGGTTCCATCTCAAGAAACCACTTTTTTTGCTCATCCATAAG